GCCACTCTCAAATCTGACCCACGAATTCCCTCCCGACGACCTCTCTGCTCAACGAAGCTCTCCTCATCTCCCACCTTCTGTTCGACCACAATCAATCTGAAATCCAAACCCCCCACCGTTGGCCTTCTCTCCACTTCGCCGGTCGCCGCAGTCTTTGCTGGCATCTGGATCTGCCTTGGAAAGCCCCAAAAAAAGAAATCTACCTCATCTCCCACCTGCAATTCGGCCACTCTCAATCTGCACCCAGGTCCCGCCTCCCCCACGATCTCGACGTCGACCCATTTGCCGAAGAATTACTAGTTGTAAAAAGAGTCGGAGAATGAATTTAGGGATTTTGACGATGGAAACAGCAAAGCAGGAAAGGGAATTGAAATGAAAAAGAAAGAATGGAAGAAGACGAAGTGAGGGTTCACTCGTCAAGTTTCAATGCTCCTTGATTGGGCTTAAAAGGCCTTGGGCCCAATAATAAATTAACGCACGTTAAATGAAAAAGATGGGCTTTAAAGAACTGAAGCCTTTGGAAGCTACGGGGATATGCAATTGAGAATTGCTTCTCATCTTCCTCTCAAGCTTTGCTGAGCAGAGTTCCATAAATAAGAAACATAGCACACAACGAGAAGAGAAGAGCTTGCTGAGAAATGTAAACACCACAATGATTTTCGAAACCATATCATAAACTTCTAAATGCAAACCAGATACAAAATAAAGCAAACTAGAAACCTCCTAATGCATACCACAAATCTCCTAAAACAAACCACAAACCTCACAAAGCAAACTACAACATTTGGAAACACACACCAGAAACCTCCTAATGCAAATCACAAACACAGTAAATCAAACCACAAAAAAGCAAACCATAAACGTACTAAGGTACACCAAAAATCTATTAAAACAAACCAGAAACCTCACAAAGCAAACCACAGAATTTTCAAAAATACACCAGAAACCTCATAATGCAAATCAGAAACACGTTAAAGCAAACCACAAAAACAAACCGAAAAACTCCTAATGCATACCACAAATCTCCTAAAACAAACCACAAACCCCTCAATGCAAACCACAAAAATTTTGAGAGCAAACCAGAAACTTCTCAATGCAAACCACAAACACGATAAAGCCAACCAGAAACTTCTTAATACAAACCACAAACACGATAAAGCAAAACACAAAGGCATACGAAAATATGAGAAACCAAACCATAAATCTCACAATGCATACCATAACATCCGGTGGTCGTTGACCGACGACCGTCAGTGAGCAGATTCCGACGACGATAGGCATATTCCGGCCCCGATGACTAGATTCCGACGCCGGTAAACATATTCCGGCGCCGGTAAGCATATTCCGGCGACAAAAAACATATTCCGGTGACCGGCGACCTAATTCCGGCGACCAAAATTTTGGGCCGAAAATTAAAAAATATTTTATTTTTTATTCTTTTATTTTTTGTTATTATTTAAACATATTTTACACTAGGTCAACTCATCTAATAAAAAGTCATCACAACCCTAGCTTCCTATTGGTTGGAGACTAGTGTTGTTATAATAACAACACAAGGGGTGTTGTCATAGTAACCGGTCCCTTTCGTTCAATACACCACAAAGAACCACCATCAGAATTACTCTTGGGTATTAAGCAAATAGACGAGAAAGAAGAATCTGAGACTCTTACTGCAGAAGATAGAAATCAGCGGGATTACTTAAGATGTGAGTTGGATGAGGTTCTGAAGATGGAGGAACTCATGTGGAGGCAGAAGTCTCGTGAGACCTGGCTGAAAAAGGGGATAACAACACTGCTTTCTTCTATAGAGTGGCCAATTTCAATAGAAGACGTAACTACATTGGGCATTTAAATTTCAACGGCATATGTGTGGATGGTCAAGATAACTTGAAGCATGCTTTTGTTGAGCACTATTCTACTCTCTTTAAAGAAGAGAGGACTTGCAGACCTTTCCCTATCAACTATGGAAGCATTAAAATTACTGATGAGGAAGGGGAGCTTCTCATTCGGCCTTTCACAGAGGGTGAGATTTGGAAGACTATTAAAAAGTGCAAACGGGATAAGGCCCCTGGGCCTGACGGATTCTCTTTGGCTTTTTTCAAAAGGTGTTGGGATGTGATTAAGTTTGATATGGTCAAGGGATTCGAAGATTTCTATACTTCAGGTGAGCTGCCAAGGAGTATTGCACATTCTTTTCTGTGCCTTATCCCAAAAAAAAGATACAATTGAAGATGCTCGTGACCTTAGGCCGATTAGACTTTTGGGGAGTGTCAACAAGATCATCTCAAAAGTGATTACTGAAAGGTTAAAACCTGTCATGCGGAAACTTGTTTCTGGTAATCAGTTTGCAGGTATCCAAGGGCGTCAAATTCATGAAGCGTCCTTGATTGCCAATGAAGTTGTAGATAGTAGGAAGAAGAGTGGGAAGCCTGGACTAATATTCAAACTCGACATCGAAAAGGCGTTTCACAACGTCAACTGGGGATGCCTCTCCAAAATCCTCTCTATCTTGGGTTTCCAGTAGTGATACAGAATTAGATTAAAGGGTTAATCTCGTCCCCTTTCTTTCCGTTTTGGTGAATGGTGAGGCCGCTGGTTTCTTCAAGATAGAGAAGGGGTTACGACAAGGAGACCCCATGTCTCCTTTTCTTTTTAGCCTTGTTATGGATATCCTATCTACAATGCTGGAAACATTGCGCCATTCTGGATTAATTATTGGTTTCTGTATGGATGAAGGAGCATCTAGAGGTGAGGTCACTCATCTACTGTATGCCGATGACACAATTGTGTTCTATGATGCTAATGAAGATCAAGTCATGAATTTGTTGGCTACTTTGGTTTGCTTCCAAGCAGTTTCAGGGTTGAAAATTAATGTTGACAAAAGTGTAATGTACCCGGTTGGAAGCATTGAGAATCTGGGGCGATTCGCTTCCCTTTTCGGATGCAGTTGGAGCTACCTCCCTACGATTTACTTGGGATTACCGCTCGGGTCTAGTCCTTACTCGAACTCTGTCTGGAGTCCTGTTCTTACAAAGTTCCAAGCTAGGCTGGAGGGTTGGAGAGGCGGCTTCCTTTCCCTGGGTGGGCGGCTGACCCTAACCCGGAGCACCCACTCTAGCCAGCCCCTATACCCGTGTGCACTCCGAAAAGCTCCTAAATCCGTCATATGAAAAATGGAGAGGATTTTAAGGAATTTTATCTGGCCGGGAGTGAATGAGAAAGGTAAGTACCACCTTGTTAATTGGAAACAATGCAAAGCTCAAGTTGGTCCAGGCGGCTTGGGTATTCTGGACTTAGAGATTATGAATATGGCCCTTCTATCCAAGTGGATTTGGAAGTTTGCTGTTGTGCGTGATGCTTGGTGGAGGAAGTTGATTAGCATCAAGTTTCCAAACACTTCGTCTGTTTGGATTTCTAGGCAAGGAAATGGTAGAACTGGTTAGTCTGTTTGGTTGTATATCTTGAAGGAAATGTATAATTTTTAGAGGTTTGCTTATATTGATATGGGTGGAGGAGCTTGGATTTCTTTCTGGCATGATCGATGGAATCGTGGGGTGATCTTAGCAAAAGCCTTCCCAAGAGTCGCTTCTGCCTCCCTAATGGCTGGATTTCTGACTTCTTCTCAATTTCGGATACTGTGAGTTGGAACCTTCCCTTAAATATTTCTTTGAGAGGTGGGGCTGAGAGGGGAGGTTGACCTTTGTAATTTTTTTTTCAAATTTGCCTCTTGGTTGAATTTCTACGGGTCCTTGCAAGTTAGTGTGGGTTCCTGGTCCCATGGCGGGATTCTCTGTTCAATCCGTATAGATGCCTGTGCTCTGAGAAGTTTCCCGGTATCACTAGCTTCCCGCAAAAGGCTGTATAGCGCGGTCAGGTGCCCTCGAAGATAAGCTGCTTTTTGTGGCTTATTTTTCACAAACATATCTTAACTCATGACAACCTGATGCGGCGTGGCTAGAGCATTGCGAGTAGATGTACACTCTGTGATGCGGACATTGAGATTATTAATCATCTCTTCAGAGGTTGCAGATTCAATAATAGCATTTGGTGTTCCTTCATGCAAGTCTTTGGGGTGATCGGACCCTATTTTGAGGAGATGCAGCACGTGATTCAGAGTTGGCCTTCTGAGGAACCCGCCAACTGGCTTGAGCGGTTCACCCATCTCTTCCTACATGCTTTCACTTGGGAAGTATGGATGGAACGAAATGGAAGGATGTTCAATGACAAGAGGCACAGGTGGCAGTCCATTTTTCACAAGATCGGGCGATGCCTTCTTCGTTGGGTGGTGGCAGGGGGTCTGATTAGTGATTTTAGCAAGATTGAGTTGCTTAGGCTTCTGTCCAAAGCCTGCCCTGTTGATCTATGTTGATCCCCTTTTTTCTAGTTTGTGTAACTTTTGGAGCGTGATCTTTTGTTTTTCTAGGATGACACCTCCTGCTTCGCTGCCTTCATCATTTCTTTTGACTTTTTGATTTTTGTTTTGAGGGGTTCATCGCCTGGGAACTCCTTTGGCTTAATTTTGTTCACTCTATTTTTAGCAATAAAATTTTCACCCTTATAAAAAAAATCAATAAAAGTATAATCAGAAAAGGGATTTACACACCTACGTACATGTTAATTTGAGAGGTTGGCTTTCCTCGAAAAAATTTAGGGGTTTTGTTCTCTCCATTAAAGAGAACTCTTCTCTTCTACCTATCTATTTACCTTTCCTCTATTCTTATTCCTATTCCGATCTTTCTTCCTAAATCTTATTCGTGCAAAACGTGCACGTAACATCAGCAGTCACATCATAGTACACGACTGACGGACTGAGGCAAGGAGCTCTTAACAATGTCAACGACACCCCACGATTTGTTTTGGCCCTTAATAAATTCCCAAGTCGTTGAGCTCGAAAATTTCTCGCCCAAAGTTGAGTTCTATCCCAACTCCCTCCCTCCTCCATCCACAGTCGTCGAGCAAAAGGGGAAGTATGGCTGCTACTTTCGTGGCTTCCGCTGTTACTGGAGCTAGTTTTCGGCACTTTCCTCAAAGTTATCTTCGAGTTAAAGAAGACCAACTCCCAATTCGAGCCAACCCAAAAGCTCCTGGAAGAAACCCTAAAGAATTTGTCTCCAGATATCAACAGAATTGACGGTTACAACAGGGATTTCGATCGACCCGACGAGATGGCCGGTCTCAAAGAGCTGATGACAAAAGCGGAAAAATTGGTTCTCAAATGCTCCAACATCGGTCGTTACAACATCTTCAAGAGGTATTTCCATGCCAAGAAGCTGCTCGAGTTGAATGATTCAATCCCTCTGTATATATCGGTAATGTTAAGCAAATCTTTCATTTTGAAGTCCGGATTGTGGGCAAGAAATGTTGCACCAAGGTTGTCGCACCATAGAATTGGAGACTGCTGGAGATGGAGATGCGACAGCAGCTGGTCAAAGACTGCCTGGTCTGAACCTGTAATTACAATATCATCAACATACACAAGAATGTAAAGGTAAGAGCCGCCGGAGGTGTAGATTAAGAGACAGGGGTCTGTTTTGGATGCAGTGAGTCCGAAGGAGTGAAGAGCGCGAGCAAGACATTGAAACCAAGTGCGAGGGGCCTGATGGAGCCTGTAGATGGATTTGTTGAGACGGCAGACATGATCTGGGTAGTTGGGATCGATGAACCCAGCAGGTTGGGCCATGTATACTTCGTCGGTCAATTCGCCATGGAGGAAAGCGTTGGAGATGTCCAGTTGGTGAAGGGGCCACCCATTAGTGACTACAATGCCCAGAACAAGATGAAGAGTAGCCGGTTTTAACACCGGACTGTAAGTGTGAGTAAAATCCCGATCCTGTACCTGCTGAAATCCCCGAGCTACAAGGCGCGCTTTGCGCCGTTCAAGCGTGCCATCAGGATTGAGTTTGTTGCGCCAGATCCATTTGTTGGTGATGAGGTTGCAGTTTGGAGGTCTGGGTACGAGATCCCAGGTCTTGTTTCGGAGAAGAGCATCACGTTCTTGGCGCATAGCGGCATTCCATAGAGGATCTTGGAGAGCTTGGGCGACAGTGGTGGGTTCGTCGTCGAGTGCGGCAGCAAAGGTCTTTGGTTTGAGTTTGCCTGTTTTTGTATGGGTGATAATAGGGCTGCGATGAGGGCGAGGCAAAGGGTGAGGGGAAGTCGTAAATTGAGGGCGTTGGGGAAGAGGGACGGGGCGGGGGTAATTTGGTGGTGGAGGTGGGTACAGTAGGAGCAGAGGGGGAAGGGGCGGCGGGTTGTTGGGGTTGCGATGGCGGGGCGGGCGGGAAAGGAGGCTCTAGGATGGAAGGGGGCTGGGTTGGAGGAAAAGGATCGGTGGGCCGAGGCCCAATGGAGGGAAGGGTGGTAGGAGAGGGTGATGTGGGCTGGGTTACAGGGATAGGTGATGTGGGCTCGGGTCCATTAGGGGAGGAGTGGGAAGGGGATGGTAGTGTGGGCTGGGTTGGAGTAGCGGTTCGAGGCCTAGGGGAAATGTCAGAACTAGGGAATGGAGAAGTGAGTGGGCCGATGGGAGTAATGGTTTGGGGAAGGGATATGATTGTTCTGGAAGGTGGAAGAGCAGGGGATGGAGACTCCTGCGGAGGAAATCCTGATTGGCGAAATGAGAAGACATTTTCGTCAAAGAGCACATGACGGCTAACATAAATGCGAACAGTAGGAATATGTAGGAAACGATACCCTTTATGAAGTTTGTTGTAGCCAAGGAAGACACAAGGTAGAGATCGAGGAGCTAGCTTGTGGGGAGCATAAGAACGTAACCAAGGGTAGCAAAGACAACCAAATACCCTTAAGCGAGTCATGTCAGGAGATCGTTTGAAGAGGACAGAGAACGGGGTGGCATTGTGAAGAAGTGGGGTGGGAGTGCGATTGATCAGATAGCAGGACGTGTCAAAGGCCAGGGGCCAGTACTTTTGAGGAATATTAGCATGATGCAACATAGCAAGACCATTATCAACAATGTGGCGGTGCTTGCGTTCAGCACATCCGTTTTGTTCGGGTGTATACGGGCAGGAGGAGCGATGAGCAATGCCATGAGAAGAAAGGTATGTAGTGAGGGACTGGTATTCGCCTCCCCAATCGGATTGAAATGTTTTGATAGGGAGGCCGAAAAATTTCTTTACAAGTTGGCGGAATTGAATGAAGACACTTAGGGCCTGTTTACTTTCATTTCTGTTTCCTGTTTTTGAGAAAACAGATGTTGAAAACAAGTGAAAACAACATTTTGTCGTTTCCGAAAATAGCAGGAAGTTGCCACTTTATGTTTTCATAGATGAAAACGAATAGAAAACGGAATGAAAAGTAAACAAATTTTCTTGTTTTGGTTGCCAAATTTATGGCATGAAAACAGAAAACAGGTAACGAAAATGAAAGTGAACATGGCCTTAGCAGTTGGGATTTGTATTGAACAAAATAGATCCAAGTGAATTTGCTATAGTGGTCGTAAAAAAGAATGTAATAAGATTGTGAATCATAGGAAAGAATGGGTGCGGGACCCCAAACATCACTACAAACAAGCTCCAATGGCGAGGTGGCTTGAAAGGAAGAACGAGGAAATGATAATATATGACTCTTACTGATTGAACAACCATGACAAAGAGAAGACGAACTAGACGCAAACTTTATTTGATTGGAGTGAACAAAATATTTGACAGCACGCAAATTGGCGTGTCCCAACCGTTGATGCCAAACGTCAAGCGAAGCGAGATAGGTATGAGGAGCAAGACAACAATCGATCTCCAGTGGAAGAGAGTAGAGACTGTTGATGGCAAAGCCGCGATGGAGCTCATGGTTGGTGCGGCGATCCTTGATGACAAAGAAATTATCAATAAATTCAATAAAAATGGGACTAGCACGAGTAAGGGAGCTGATGGAAAGAAGATTATAGGGGACATTTTTTTACGCAAAGAATATTATCGAGAGAGATGGAATGATCAGAAAGACAAGTTCTAGAAGAGCCAGAGTGAGATAACGGGAAGGGTTTTACCATTGCCAAACATAACGTGATCTGTGCCATTGTACTCCGAGTGGTGAGCCAGATTATCCAAATCGGAGGTGAGATGATAATTGGTGTCGGAGTCTAAGATCCACTGCTGAGGGTGAGGAGGCTGGGCAGGCGAGTGGGCTAGGTGAGCAGTTGGGCTAGGGGAAGGATATGGTGGGCTGGGGCAGGCGGCCCGAAGGTGACCTTTGCCACCGCAATTGTGACAGACCGGTAGACCAGAGCGGGCCTAAACCTGGGCCGGACGATGTGGCTGGGCTGGGGCCCAGAAGACCTGCAGAAGACGACGAGGGGTGAGAGTATCGGCTCACACCGCCACCGCGAGAATAATAGCGGTCGCGAGAGCATCCACCGCCACGCCCCCGGGCACAGATGAATGCAGAGGGTGAGGCCGAGCGGGATTGATATCGGTGAAGCTGTATTTCTTCACTGATCAACAGAGAGTGAAGGTCTTCAAAGGAGATTGGTTCATTGTGAGCTTTGATGTGTCTGGTGAAGGGGCGATAATCTTCGCTGAGGCCATCCATAATAGCAGTGACCAGCTCGTCATTGGTAACCGGAGAGACGAGATCCGCCAGCTGATCCGCCGTCTTCTTGGCGTCTTGGGGGTAGTCATGAATCTTAGCGTCGCCTCGATTCAGCTTGTGAATGGAACCGCGAAGCTATCAGATTTGAACGTAGGAACTAGAAGCATATATGCGGGCGAGCACCGACTAGGCATCAAAAGCCGTGTTCTTGTTGATGATGTTTCGTAGGACAGATTCAGAGAGTGAGAGAGAGATCCACATGTGAACCGTCTGATCGCGTTCATACCAGGTGGAGTAGGCAGGATTGGGCTGGCCGTCAATTTGTTGAGGCGGCGCCGGGGATGTGCCATCGACATGACCCATCAGACGGAAGCATCGGAGTAAGGGGAGGAGTTGAGTAATCCAGAGTAAGTAATTGGTTGTGAGAGTTTGACAGTGATCTGAGGGTTGGATGGGAGAGGCATTGTAGGGGATTGAGAAGAAGAGGAAGAGGCGATGGTGTAGATGAGGCAGAAGAGTCAGTAGACATGGCAGCTGGATGTCGAGAATAAGATAAGGAAAAAAAAAGTGATCAGACTTGTTTGAGTTTTAATGGCTCTGATACCATGTGAATGCTGCTCAACTTGTGTTGGTATTATTGATCATGTCTACTTATAGTACAGAGGAATAACAAAGTACTAAATTACAGGAGGTGATGGCAACGGTAGGATGCTGAAGTTCAGGAACAGAAACAGAGGAAAGAGGGGAAGAAAGACGTGGGTTAACAACCCACTTCTGTGTCCGTTAGCAGTGGGAAGACCACCCTGGCTACAGCACTCTGTCACGACTGGGAAGTTCGAGGTAGGCTATCTGCTTTCTTCTCCCTGCTCTTTCTCTTGATCTTTATGGGGGATTTGATAATTCCTCTGTTTGGATGCCAAGTGCTTGCAATTGACAAATCTTCATAGCCTAAAATCTCGCCAAAACGGGTTGAAGGATTTGTTAGTTCGAACAATGTGAAGTTAAACAAACTTATAGGACCAATTTTGCAATTACTGTTCTCAGAACAACCATCCAAACAACATCATTGTACAAATCTATCACCGGTCATAATCCACCCATTTCACTGCTTGACATGTATTTGATTGATTTTTGGTACAGATGTGTAAGGGCAACATTTTATTTGTCACGTTTGGGACGATTCCTAGCTTGGTGGAGATAGTGAGCAGACTTCACGAGCACTACAACTGCCAGCTAACTGAAGAACTACAGAGTGACGAGGATGCAATTTCTGAATTAGAGAACTTGATGAGGAGGATAGAACCCGAGCCTGTTCTGTTGGTAATGGATGATGTTTGGTCTCAATCAGAATCTCTTCTTGAGAGGGTCAAGTTCCACATAAAGAATTACCATATTTTGGTGACCTCCAGTTCTGAATTCCCCAGAATTAGTTCCACTTTGAAAATGAAACCCTTGAGTGATGAAGACGCATTGGCTCTTTTCCATAATACCGCATTCACGAATAATGCTAACTCATTTATTCCAGATCAAGCTGTCGTTAGCAAGGTAATAATCAACAGATATCACCTATGCTCATAATCCAGTTGTTTTCCCGGCGAGAAAAATAAAGGAAAGAGAATTGGATTTTGCACCTTTGACTTCCAAACAAATGATCAAACAACACAGTTCACACCTCTTTGAACAAAGTTCAAACAAGGGTGTTCAATATTTTGATGAACTACGAGGCAAATCTACATTAAATTAGCCCTACTCCTATGGAGGTTCAGTGAGAGCTCCAAAAACTACGACTATGACTAAAATCTGCAGAGAAAAAGATAAAAAGATAAAACTTGACAAGTGGTGTCGAGTTGTGATTTTTGCGAACCCTTTCTCTGTCATCTTCACCTCCTATTTATAGCCACCAGAAGTAACTGCCCAAAGAAACTGCTCTGCTGACGTGGAGTGA